TCTGCGATGATCTAATGAGAGTCCAGACAGACATAAGATTTAGGAGTTGGGGGAGCTGCTCTCATCAAGTCCAGTTCTCCCTCTTTTTCTTTATTTATCCATTGAAAGAAACCACATCACTCATTCACACCTGTGAATTCTCAATGAACTTCATTGATGGTCATTAAACAATTCCTTACGTTTTCAGCAAAGCGAACGAACAAAATCAACTATGTTTGGATATTGTTTGTTGTTCATGAATTTTAAGAAATTTTTCTGGTTCATATCAGCTCATTTTATATTACATCTACTTTTAATTTCATTATGAGAATGTTCTATTGGAAAGCCAATGCAGAATTTCATGTTGACGTATGCCAGATCAAAGAAACTGGAACTTAAGAAAACATCGGAAAATAGGGCAAAACGCTGCACAAGTGCACAAAAACCTCACGAAATACGACCCAAGTGTTTCTGGAGACACAAAAATGTGACGAAAAAGTTGCAGAAATGACAAACTAACAGTAAACGGGTGATAAAAAACATGTATCTACAGTCTTATACGAAACACACATTACTGATATGCTTTAGTTTCTGTCCCATTAACGTCTCCTCCAAAACACTTCTGCTGGGCTTTGTTGTGTTCTTGTATTTATTGTTGTAAACACCAGTCATAATGTACAACCTTTGAGAAACTTGAAATGCATGGCTTCTACAGTTTTCCATGCGTAATGGAGAACTTTTAATGACAGTGGCAGTGTGGTTTAATGCTCCAATAAAATGCTAAACATCATGGCTAAACTAGCCCACTGCTCTGCTCTTAGCATCAAGCACTTTTTTCTGCAAACGTCTCCCTGCGTTACTTTGTTGAGTTTAAAAGTGGCATATAATGTGTAGACATGCAAAATGGTATTGTGCGAATGCCATTGATAATGTCATCTTTCTTGCAGAGAAAGACTTGGAGAAGGGCCTCAGTGTTCCATTTAAAATCTTCGGTTTGGTCTCTTTCACCTTATTTTCTTGTTGGGCCTGTCCAAAAGACTAACAATTCCAAGCAAAGTCCTTATTTTCTTTCTCCTGATTTTTTCTCCCTTTCTTCTTATTCTCTGTCTCTTTGGTATTTCCCACTTCCTTAGTTCTGTAAAGCTGGGACGGCTGGAGATTTTACACCCAATTGGTTGAGTTGGGGGCCTTTGTCGGAGCCCTTCTCCAGCTCCACAAGTGGCAGAAGGGACCTGGGTTCTGAATGGCGCTTTGTGTACTGTTTTTCTAAGAGGGGGCCCTCTCTCTCCCGCTCTCATCTGTCACAGGTCCCTCTCCGTCCACACTCCACAATGCCTGATTGTTTCTGCCAAGTCGCCAGGTTCCAGGCCAGATCTGAACAACGCTTTCTTGCCAAATACCGACCCTGGTTTTCGTTTTTCTTCCACACACAAAGGGATTCTAAGTTACTGTCCACGTTTTAGAAGGAGACTTAGATAGCTGTCCACCACCAGCACTTTATTTGCCGAGTGCATTTGAGAGCTAAAGGTTGTAAAAATTTCCATCGACAGCAAAGGAAAGAAAGGACCATAAACCAAAAAGGAAAAATTGCTGGGCATACATTTATTGTGATTATTAAAGACAGTAGGTGAAAAACGTGCATATTACAAAGATTTAATAATGATGCTATTAACAGCTTGCTGGATTCCTGGAGTCACATTAAAAAACAAAAACAACAACAACCAAAGCAAACACGGAAAACAAAGCAGAAAAACTATAAATGCACGGGGATGAACAATTAAGACTTCTCATTCAACAGTGCATGCTCTGTTCAGTTATCAAACAGGCAATCTAACCAGTATCACTTTCCAAGAAACATCTTAGGCAGGAGAACCGTTTCCAGGGGAAAGTCTTGATGTTTTTCTAGATATCTGACAATATGAAAAGGCTTTGGGAGAGCCTCAGAGTGATGCCTGTGAAAATGAATTTGTTTTTCAGGTACTGGTGTAACATTACCATCACATTAGTGTTTCCTGAGAGGGCCTCGGCATAGGAAGACTTTCTTTTTTGTCCGTCTCACTGGGGGAAGGTTGTTTCTTTTCAGTCATAATAACTCAGTTTCTGCCTACGTGTCAGGCGACATTTTGTTAATGAGTCGTGTCGAGACCAAAAAAAAAAAAGCTGCTTCTTTAAATTAGGACACATAAATGTGCAGACGACTATGACCATACAGCTCAAAGACAACAAGGATTAGTTATTAGTTATAGAGCATAATTGAGTTTTAACATATACTGTCATGTCCAGCTGTCTAACATGCCTAAAAAAATACACCTAACTCTCTAAGTCTCTTATTGTCTTTAGAAAACAGTGACACAAAGAGAAATGATCACATGTTTTTCTTTCATTCTGGCTTCATTATTCAACACTTTTCTTTCACTGTGATGGTTTTATTGCAAATATAAAAATGTGTTCATAGTTTCATAGTGTAGCATTAGAAGGTAATGTGAAAAATGTAAAAAAATCAGCCACATTTCTGTCATGCACTAAAAGAATCTTTTTTTTTTTTTTTGGTATAGCATGCTACTCTGTCTAATGATCAGGTCATGAAATACACCGTTTTCTAATCACAAAAGACCTGCTTGCCATGCTTACCAATAAACCCTTGTACTGTTGCATGGAGAAACCCAATCACTGGCAGTTAAGAGTCTGGGCATTCCTGGCCATATGAGACACCAGTTCCAAGAAACTAAGTCTTAAGCTCCCTCATAAACACAGCACCAGCAATATTGTCAGCTAAATATAGGCTGTCTTCTGTATTCTCCCTCCCCATTTGCCCATCGCTCTCTCATCGCTGCAGTTTGGATAACCTGAGTTGATCGTGGATTATGGTTTGCTGTTTGTTGGTTGTCTGGGCTCTTACACTCATATCGCTGTGTAATACAACGAAGGCCTGAGAAATTCAAACCCCGCACTCTTCTACTAAATTTAAATCTGGCTGTGAATGGATGGCACTGCTGGCCAGTTGTAAAAACGAATAAAAACTTGTACTTTGAAACTTGGATGACTTGTAAAGAAGGCTCGTTAGACTTACTTAAAATTGGGTTTGAAAGCTTGAAAAAAAAAAATCATCTGGATTAACCTACATGCATCAAATAAACTGCATTTCATTACTGCAGTAAGAACTGCAATAATAAGGTTCAGTAAAGTAAAAAGTAACATGAAAAAAGCAACATAAATGAGAACAGGTATAGAATTTCTCAGTAAAATTGGTTACATTGTACTTCTGATGGGTTTCAGTCTATAGGACTATCATGGACTATTAATGGTTATTAACATTTTCAGGTCTCACTTTTCACAGCATGCCACTATCCACCCTCCTCTAATTTTTCCTGCATCACAGAGTCGGTGGAAGCTGCGTTCCACCAGAGGTAGTAAGAGACAACATGCACTGAACATTACGACCCTCGCATTCACTGAGCAAATCACTCAGCTATACTGTACACACAAATGGACACACAGCAGTTCTCAAATAATCAGTCGGGACCTGCGCTGGAACTGAGCTTCCCATTCCTGTCCTCTCTATCCTTTTTCCGGTCTTTGCATTTTTATTTTTTATTTTTTTGCTCCCTCGATTCATTTCACTCTTTATTAACTGCTTCTATCTATTAAATACTTTTTCATCTTCTTCTCCCTCCTCGTGCATTCAGACTGCACCCCCGCTCCGCCCTTTCAGACATTTGACTGAGGGTCAGATGTAACACTTAAGAGCACCCAGGAGGCTGCGTATATCAGAGAGACAGCCTGCTCTGACTTACTGAGCAGCCGATGCTGAAGTAGTAATCAGTTTTTCACTGAAGCTGTGTGTATGCATTTGCGTGGATGTGTGTGGAAGCGTGGGTGGCACCGGCTGTAGTAATCACAGCAAAAGCAGCTCAGAGCAGGCTGATCCATCAGTTGTCACCTAACAGTTTAGCTTAGATTTGTGTTTATTAATGTAGAATTGTTTATGTATTTAGTGTATTTGCGCTTGTGTGTACTCGTATATATGTTGAGGACAAGTGAGCCCGTGTTTAGATTAGACCTCCTTTCGTCTAAGCCCGTAGGAAGGCAGGGTTTAGCTGTGGTCAGCAAATGTCCTCACAAGTACAGTCAAATGAAAGGAAATCATTACAGAAAATGATGCATTAGCCTGGCGACTCAGTCTGAGACTAATATTAGAAAAAAGTGAGATTTTTCCACTTAAACTCGGCAGCCTATAGCGTCTGCTTTTGTAACAGCTCCGAGGTGATGAGAGGCCTTGATGCTGCATAATAGATTAATAGATTATCCCCACGAGAGTGGATTTGTGTGTGTTTGCACGCTTGATGTACATTCAGGATGAAAACATGTGAGTCGCGCTGCATGAGTGCCTGAGTAAATACCAAAAATATGATATGTACTTTAAATTGTTTGTGTGTGACTAAACCATAATTACATGTTTCACATTCATGTCTCTGCATTTAAATAAAGTTGTGGCTTTGAATTATCGATTCAAATGCATGGTTGTGAAATCATCCAACAGTGTTTTGTGGCTTTTTTTGTGCAGTCAGTGGTGGAAAAAAATAAAATCTAAAATTATTTAACACACTAAAAGTAGAAAACTGCATTTTTGGCACAGTTTGATACTGATGATACTGCTAATTTACATGAACTAACCTCCAGCACTTAAGAAGAGTCCAATCGTGATAATATTGTTATGAAAAGAATGTCTGTCAAAACAAAATGTAACAAAACACTTTGTGTCTTTTGTTTTGGAGCATTGCTCTATTTTCCCGTGCTGGTGTGTCATTGTTTGCAGTTTTCCACAGAAAATGCATCACGGTTTCCAGGAAGGTTTTGGCTTTAGTCTGGCTGGTGACAAATATCTTTTAGTCTTTATCATTGTGAGAACAGCAGCACTAGTCGGCAGCTGTTCATGTGTCACTTCAGTGAGCATCCATCCTGGTAGACATAACTGTAGTTCATAAACCAAAGTTAAACCCTTAATTTTTTTTCCTTCCCAGAATGATGTCTTCCATGCGAGCAACGCCTCCCTTTCATCCACCGCCCGAGGAAGCAGAAGTGATTGGTCAGGACAGTGCAGGCTGGGTTGGTGATGAGCACGACGGCCCAAAGGAGACGGTGTCGCCTTCTTTGCATGACCAGTCCCACCCAGATGAACTGCAGCCAATCAGAGAGAAACCAACAGACGCTGAGTGGGAGAGTGTCAGTCCTGCTGTGATGGTGAGAAGTGAATTAGGCCAAGAGCTTAGAAACTGACCATAATACTATAACTCAGATTCACACAAATGTGGGTGTGTGCACAGAGTACACACTCGGGGCTCACAAATCATAAAACACCTGTGAGAATATATGCAGGAATACATAGGGTGTGCAAATTCTCATGCCTAATGATATCTTTGCACTATTGAGTGAGCACAAGGTGTAGTGGACACACACACAGACACACACACGCATGCACCGGTAGTTCTTTCTGACCTGTGTGCTACAGGCAGTGCTGCAGGCAGCCCAGTGAGGGATCTCGTTTAGAGAGTTATACCCCTGGCCTCCTCTCATCTCCACAGCCTGCTTTGGTGTGTGTGTTTGTATGTGTGTTTGAGTGTGTCTGTTAAGGTGTTAGTTACTTGGCTTCAGGTTCTGTGGGTCCCTAATGGACAAAATGTGTTTGGCTTCACCCTCTGAGGAAAGGGGAAAGTTTCCTCTGGTATCGTTGTTGTGGTAGAGTTGAAAATGTCCCATTTTTTAAAATTACTTGCGTTACTGAAGCATGATTATGGCTCTTTAGATATTTTGAAATTGTTACTCAGTTATACTGACCCATGCCCAGTGCACAATAAGAACTGTAAATGCAGTAATTCATTAACAACAATATTCAAAAACCTGACTTAACATCGGTATCAGACTTCAAAGTTGCCTGAAGGCAAAACTTTTCATGAATATTTGAATTTTCACTCTATATTTTTTCCTTTTTTCTCTCTATTTTTATCTCCAACTTACACACTCACATGTGTAACCATTGTCCCTCATGGACCAGCACAGGACACTGGTGAAAACCTATAACGAAATAATCTTTTCAAGTGTTCAGAAAGAGGACAGGTGGTGCTGGGTCAGAAAGTAACAAAGTGCAATGTTTCAAACTGTAAAAAGTCATAAGGTAAAGCTGCAACACTGCCCAAAGCAGCCTCTGACCAGTGAAACATGGGAGGTCCTTGTGCTGTGGACAGAGAAGGGTAAACGACCCTTCTTAACTTCATTGCCTCACCAGCCTCCAACAGTGAGGGTCAACTTAAAACAAAACTTTGTGATTCAAGTTTCTGATCTGAGAATCAAACATTACAGCTTGCACCACCCTGCTTGTATAACTCTTGAGCAGACCTGGAAAAAAAAGCCAACACACCTGAACAATCTGTGAGTGACACACTATCTCGTAATCCTCATTACAGAGGCATCTTCCGCTTAAAGACAAAGTGCACAACAGAGCCTCCTGGAGCCATTTCAAGGGCATCTTAAGATCCCGCTGTTAGCCAAAGCCCCTTGTCTTTGAAACATAAGCCTCCTAAAGTTCTTGGAGATCCCCCCACTCTGTAAGGGGAGGAGAAAGTATCCAGAAATAACCCCAGTGTTAGAGCACCTGTGCTAAAGTGTCGGATGTTGTGTGGGACAATGTGGTCATCCTGAAGGGCTTATCTTTAGATAATTATAGACTCCTTGTGCCTCTTGCTTAACTCATAACCCTGCAGAGCAGACAACAGTGGGACACACACGCTGGGGTCATCCACCATAAACAACAAAAACCCATCAGATATAACGTTAGCTCAGCACTCAGTCACCTCCGACTTATTATCAGTAAACAGCAGAGAGAGCACCCGGAGGGTGTCCATATTGTTGCTGGGGACTTCAATAAGGCATGTTTGAAATCTGTGCTCTTCAAATTCCACCAAAATGTTAAGTGTCCTACCAGGGGGGACAGTACACTGGACCATGTGTACAGTAATATCAAGCATGGCTACAGAGTGACAGCCTAGGACAGTCTGACCACCTCTCTCTGCTCCGCACCCCTGCCTACATCCCCCTCAGGAAACAAACTCCTCCAAGCACCCAGGTCGTTAAAACATTGCCAGATGATGCTCTTCTCCAGCTACGGGACTGTTTTGATCTGGTCCATGGTCAATCTTAGACCAGCAGGACCTAGAGACCTTCACTCAGTCTGTCCCTTTCTACATTAAGTGCTATGTAGAGAATGTGACACTGGACAGGAAGGACATCAAACAGGTCAAGAAGGCCTACAGGAGGAGGATAGAGGGCTTCCTCCAAGTGTGGAGAGCCATCCATGCCCTCACCAACTACAAAGGCCAGAGCCCCCAACCCCCTGACAGCAGCCTCAAATTTGCAAAGGAGCTCAACACCTTTGCTCAGTTTGAGGCCACCCCTTCCTCGCACCCCCTGTGCTCCACGAAGGATGCCATCACCATCACCCTTCACAGAGCACTGAGCTGTCTGGAGAACAGGAAGAGCTAGATGAGGATGCTCCTTGTGGACTACAGTTATGTGTTCAACACCATAATACCAGACATCCTCACTACCAAACTGGACCACCTAAAGGTCCCCCCTGCATACATATGACTGTACACCAACCTACCCAACCAGCGTCAAGTATGTCGATGACACCACAGTGGTAAAGTAGGCCCAACAGTGGCTGCGCTTCCTCTGTGTCCTGAGGAAGAATAACCTGGACCAGAAGCTGCTGCTGGCCTTCTACCCCTCTTCAGTGGAGTGTGTGCTCTCCTACTGGTGCTGGGTATGCAGGGGCCACTACTAAGAACAGGAAGCCTTCTCAGAGGGTAATCAACACCACCCAAAAAAATAATTGGCTGTCCTCTGCCACCCCTGGAGGCCATCGCCAGCTCCTCCTGTCTCAGGAAAACCAGGGCCCTATTCTATTCTATTCTATTCTATTCTATTCTATTCTATTCTATTCTATTCTATTCTATTCTATTCATTATCAAAAGGTCTGATTTTTGTCACCTTGACCAAAACAGGAATTAATTCTTATTCTAAAGAGAGGTATAAAACAATCATATGCATCACCCGAGATGTCTGTGTGTGACTATAGGGTTAAACCTCGATGTGTAATTAATGAATATATTATGAATCTATTAAAGACACAAATCAAGGTTTTTCTCAGACTACTATAACACTTTACTGGCTTTAAATTATTCCACAAATCCACTTCCACCAGCACCAGATTGCATGTCTCTGCGGTCATGCTGCTCCTTACGTGTAAGCACCCTCAACTGAAAAAACACTTGCCAGGCTTGGCCTTCTCACAGTGTGTCTCAGTGGATTATACACACGTGACCCTGGCAGTATAAAGATATGTAATGGAGTATCACCATGTTGTTTTTGATGACAGATAGATCAAGTACTGTGCTCGTCATGTTCTGTCAGTTGCAAAATGCAATCCTAAGTCTGATATTTGGCATGTAGCACCAGCTGACCCATGCTCAGGCAAAGCGCAGTAGAGCAAATAAAGTACAAGCTCACTCCCAAATAGTACTACAGGGATACATTAAAGAGCTTTGGGATGCATTTGTCTGAGCTGTGTTAAAAATAAACTGTTGCATGAATTGAAATGCTCTCTCACAGATATGCAGTACTTAATTACTTTCTATGGCTCGTGGGTTTGAACTCTCATTTTCTATTTCTTCCAAGGACAATGAAAGCAGTAAAGGTGGCTCAGTCTACTCTTACCGGACTACCTCTACCTCTCCAACCAAGCCAGAGGAGTGTCCAAGGGATCGCGGGGAGCCTGTGATTGGCCTCGCCTTTGGGACGCCAGAGCGCCGCAAAGGGAGCCTGGCAGACGTGGTGGACACACTGAAACAGAAGAAGCTCGTGGAGCTGACCAAGACAGAGCAAGACGGTAAGAAAAAGGTCTTCAGTGTATATGTGTGTTTATGTGTGTGTGCATGTTTTATCACCAGTGGACCTGAATCTTTACATTTCAGGCTAGCCTTTTATTCGAAGCTGCAGGCTGTGGAGTAACACTGCTCTTCCACTTATAAACATTCAGTTTAGCTAACTTGAAGATAACTTTATACATCTAAGAAACAGCGCTGCTTTGGGTGGGTCTTTTGGTTTCACCTGAAGGGCTTTGGGGGAGTTTTAGTAGCTTAAATGAGTTAGAGAAATGGTCTAAACACATAGTGGAACATTTTTTTATTTATTTCAAACAAATTTTCCATATTGTCCATTTTCTAGTCCTACAATTGGTGAACTGTTAGTCTTCCATTAAAATAGATTTTAAAACTTTAGCAAAGGTCCTCATTTGTTGCAGGGTTAAGAGCTATCTAGATGAGTGAATATATCACAGTGATACATTAACACACTGCAGGACTGCATCTTCATTCTAGCTTTTCACAGAAGTGATGCAGTTTTTACTCAGTTTCCCTTCCACATAAAGCAACAACAACCTTTGCTCACCATTTTGTTCTCTTTTTTTCTGAAAACTTCCTCTCCAGAAGATCTTTGAACGTCTAAAATTACAACTGACAGATCCCTCACTCGTTAGATCACAGTATCAATCAGTGAAAACACAGGTTTCCCTTTCTCCGCTGCTCCTCTGATCTACACCTCCAACACGGGAAAGGGTTGGAGTCTCCCAGCGTGCCTCAGCTTGCCCTTTTCCTCCCCAAAGCAAACCAGATCTAAAACCATCTAACACCCCTCTTTACTATTATGTGCACATAGTAATCGCGATAATATCAGAGGAGTGCTTGATCTCTCTCATTTAGAGGTTTCACTTTGTTATTGATACAGTAAAATGGGCCAGATTGGATGGCCTGAGGCGTTATACAGTCCACGGTGTCTTAAGCTCTAAGACAGGAAGCTTTGCCTCTCATATTCAGCAGCAGAAAACACACACTGTGAGTGTGTGTTTTCAAAAGTGTTGTGACACCTTCCTTTCAAATCAAAGAGGACACAAGTGGATAAAAATGCTAGGTGCCCACCTTTAAATGTGGCTCTTTTTGATTTCAGAACCACATGTATACTTCTGATCAACAATACCCGACCTTGCTTACTGTACAATGACGTTGGCCATTTTTAATTCGTTTTGAAGTTTTCTAAACTTATTTTCCTGTTTACTGCGTGTAGTGATTGTGCAGCAACACAACAGACTTTCAGTAAACATAGGTCTTCATTGAGTTTGCTTAGGTTCCCCTTTTTTCCTCTTAATTACTTTTCATATCCCTTGTATGAGAGGAATATGAGCATGGTGTGCTGCATTCTAAAGCCGATATTCTTGATGTTGTGATCAAGTGGCTCTTGGCCCCTCTTGAAGTGTTTTTGTATGTTTAATTGCAACCACTTCCACCCCTTTTCAGCTTAGAGAAATATAACAATATTAAAAAAGTAAAGTCTGTTTGATCTTATATTAGTAGTATACAAAGAGACCTTTTACTACAGATGAGTGATTCAGGGCGACAGCTAATAATAGCATGATTAAATGATGAATTATTTAGAATGTTTTTTAGTTAGCAATAAATGAAATGGTGATTAATTGACAATAATTGGTTTGGAAACTATCTTGTAAAGGTGAGACTGATGCTTTTTAAACTTTATACATGGTTGTTTACTACTGTGCAGATCATCTGTAAAAACATTGGGATGACTAGTACCATGATGAAAGGCACGTCTAAAATGATGTTTAAAGTATGCAGTTGATGTGATGAAACTTACAAGACGGATCCTGGAGCTCACAGTCCACTTCCTGTTCATGAACTGTGTAGCTTTGTTACTCGTTTGCTTTCTCTCAGTGTTTGGGTTGGTTTAAACACCAGGACTGCTGACGTACATTTACAAGATCAGGATCTGAGTTAGTCTTGCTTTCACAACAATAGTCTTGCATGTTGAAAAATGAAACTCCCAGTGTGTTAAAATGTGAAAAACAAAATGGGTCCTGGCCAAGTGTCCATATGTGATGAGATGATGTAATAGGTGATAAGAGCACCATTGTGTGTATCTCTGATAGACCAGGCACTTCAACAAAACAGCAGTATGGACTTTTTGATGTTGCGACTGAGGACAAGTTTACTGATTGGTAAAAAAACCCCAAAACTTGATCACAAAACAAAAATAACATTTCCTCATCATTAAGAAATACACATTGCGGTTTAGTGTAATTATTTCTACCTCTATGATGCAATTCCATCCATTTGTCCATCATTTTCCTAACTACTTATTCAGTTCAGGGTTGTGGGGCAGCTGGATCTCCCATATGGCGAGGAGCAGGATACATCCTGGGCAGGTCAGCAGCATCATCACAGGGTCATGATGCGATGCATAATATACTGTTGATAAATTCAATACTTTATGCTCCATGAAATATGACAAGGAAATGTAATTATTTATGATTATTAAACATAGCTAATAATTATATCATTGTTTGTAACATAAAAAGGCTAGTTTAATTAACATCATCAACAATGATGGTTAACTATGGAAGCAATGCTTATGCTAAAAGATACAGTAATACTAGTAACAGTAAGAATAGCAGTGATGTTTCAAAATCACTTTGATATTAAGCATCTCGTTCTTTGCTAATTATCCGCAGTACTAGCACTGATCATGCTGCACACACTTACACAAAAACAAACAAGGTAAACGTGTGCAGTATAACCAGGCACACTGAATCATACAGGGCTTGCTTGAATAGTAATTGTGTTTCAGGGCCTTGTAATCATTCATGCGAATTGCTGTGATCCTTGTAGAAGCATTGTAAAAATGTCTTTCATCCAGTGCTTTGGTAATGCTTAGCTGCGGAGACTGACGGGTACTTCTGCTTTTTTTTTTCTTAATGAATTTAGTCAAAAATGAGGTGATTGATAGAGGCTGAATGCTTCATCGAGTGAGCTTTCAAACCCGATGAGCAATAACGCTCCACATCCTTTTTCTTTTTTTCCCCTCATTTGTTAATTTGCTTGAATACTGCCTCCTATTTTAATTGCCTCTTTCTCTTCTCTAGTTGATTATTGTCTTTTTCCATTTATCTTTTCAGTTCATCTTCTTTCTATCCTTCAACTCCTGGAGCATTTCAAATCACTTCTAGCACATTTTTTAAAAATCCTTTTGCAAGAGGCAACCTTGCTCACATCCTAAAATAAATCTTCGTTTGTGTTACTGGTGAGGACGAAGGATTCCAAATGCATAAGCTGTCTGATTTGTTTGTTTTGTTAAAAGAATGTAAAGCAGAAAGGAGTGCAAGGCCATTGTGGTGAATAGACCTATATACTGAGGTCTTGTGTGGAGTAGATCAGAGATAATTTTTTGCGTTATTGTATAATTCAAATATTCAGGAATTCTGCATTTGAGCCAAGTCTTTTTTTTCCCCTGGCTCTTTAGTCGCGCGTGTTAACTTTGACTCACACTTAAAATGGAGTTTGTTCAGAATGCTCTTACGGCCCCAGCAGATTTGATCATCGCCACTCAAATGGGAAGCACATTAAGCTCTGAACAATACTGCCCCTCACCTTGTCCTCTGCCTCCTGCTGCTAAGGGCTCAGTCAGCTGAGCTCTCCCAAGTTAGATTGGCTGTGTGATCAAATGGAACAGACCCTATCCAACCACCGAGCACTCACTTAGCCTAACGTGGCTGACCCCTATGCACTGTGGCCCGGAGCTAAAGTGTGGATGATGTCGCTGTTAGCCCTCGTGCTGCGCTTACCCCCTGTCGGCACGCTGTTAGCAGTCTGCTTCTCAGAGGTGCCCTAAGTGCCTGTGACAACTCTACTGAATAGACATGGCCTCGCTTTGCTATGCGTGACTTTATTTATTTATTTATTTATATCTTCACACAAAGACAGCCTCAGCTTTTAAAAGCTTTATCAAGAAGTCTTTAAGACTGTGTCAGGTAGCAGTATTTCCACGCAGCTAAGTTGCTGAAAATGCATCATTTTCAACTAGACTCTCACAACATGGGAGCCAAGAGGGTGAAGGTCTGGTGTTTTCTGGAGAATTTTGTATTTATGCTGAATTGTGCCTGTCTTATGTGAAGCTTTAGCTACAAAAGCTTTCTGCATACAAAAGGGTTTCTCTATACCGTTAGAGCACTTATTAGACTAGTAGGCTGGTTGCTGAATAAAATGTTCACGGCCAGGGTGACGGAAGATCAGAATTAAACACACAAACAGAAAAAAGCAGGTCCTAGATTTGTTGTTGAATGGAAATACTCCATCCTCAGTCGCTTTGCAGCTAAAAATAAGAGATGGAGAGGTTGGGAAATAAAAGCTTGGAATAAACAATTACGGTAATAACCCAGACAATTCTCTGTCTCTGAACACTGATACATCCTTTCTCTTAGCCATTATTAATCTGAATTCACCTCATCTCCTTGAGGCCTCTTTACAAAAAGGGAAACAACACTCAGAAGTGGACACATTTAACTGAATGCCAAACCCAGCCATTCTGGGCTACTGCCTGGCAGACATTAAACCCATTCAAGTGTGCAATCAAGTTCCCTTCGTTTTGATGAGTGAATTATGATTATCTGTATTGTCATGCCTCCCGGGGGCAGTGTTGGAGTCTGGCATGGGGAAAGTGCCCTGGTGCCAACTTAGTCAGGCATCTAAATGTGCCTACTGCAGCTTTGGTGCCTGGCAAACACTTAACATCACTCTAATCCCTGCTTACACTTGAGCCTGTATGAATTACTGTACAATCCATGTCTTTCATTTGCAAATGAGATCAGGTCCAATTACGGCAACACTGCACTACTCCGGAGCGGTTACAAAACAGACACCTGTGTGACTAATTTATTACCCGACCCGTACTGGAGTTGAATTTAGCAACAAAAGATTCAATTCAATTCAGTTGTATTTATATAGTGCCAAATGACAACAGCAGTTGCCTCAAGGTGCTTTGTAT